GTTGTTTGTCTTTTGCTTTACTGGCAGAGCAGGAGCATGCAGGCAGGATCCCTTCTCATCATTAAAGAAAGGAAGTAGTCAGGTGGTGGGACACTTTGCCCTGACCTTCTCTATCCCTGAAAGAGTCAAAATTCTGTGACCAGGCAAGCGTCAGGGGTCACATGCTTACTGAGTGCTTTGAAGTAAGCTGGGAGCAGAGTACTCAGAAGAATCTAGAGCTAGGAGGAGATATTTTTATTTTCTTTTGTAAGTGACTGAGGAGAGAGGTTTTGTTTCAGGAATTGCTTTGCACTGTATTGTAACAGTAATTGCTGGAGTGCCTGAAGCATTTTGAGATACATGCTCTTTGTTATTTCAGTGGCTTTTTTTTTTAAGAAAATAAACAGTTATTCTGCTTTCAAATTGTGTAGAGTAAATAAGACTGGCTTTACTGCTTGAAGAAAGAGTATAAAAATACCCAACAGCTGCCTCATTTTCTGAATGCTATCCAGCCCCTGCCTGGGGCAGGGGTTCTGTGGAAAAAATAGTACGTGATCATGCATGTAGAGACTGTATCACACACACACAGAAGAGGGGAATGGTTAAATGGACAAGCTCTGGCATTTACTAAATAATTCAACTTCAGTAATACATAAAAAACAGTTTGCCATGTAGCAGGATGTGGTTGGACAACACAGTGTCTATAGGTGATTACTTTGCTTTAAAGAGAGGAGGAGCTGGAAGATGCCAGAAGGGCTCTTAATTTCTCTGAGCAGTCTCACTGAAATCGCTGTGATTAACTGGTGATTAAAACCAGGAGTGGTGGTAACTGTTTACTTTGCCAGAGATCTGAGTGTAGTTCTTGTATTGCTGGAGTCCCAGCTGTCAGCCCTCTTGACAGACTGCTGTGTAACTCTGCTGCTTTAAGTTTAGTTACTTCATAGGCATAAAGGCAATTTACTTTTGTTTTGGATAATATAAATTTTGCAAGTTTTTTCTGAGCTAGTCCACAATCACACTGTTGTGGGGTCAAATTAAGTTTTGTTCCTGAAGTTACTTTCAGAGTGAAGCAATTGTCTTTATTGCAATGAACTCTTTGTCCTTATCTTGCCCAGTAGATGGTAGTGTTGGCTGTTTTTTCTATTTATTTTAAAGCTGTGCCTTAAGATGTGAGAGGGTTTTTTCTTCTTTTTTGTCCTTTGCACTTCAATTGTTCTTCTTTTTTCTTTGTTTTTATTTCTGTGTGTGCTCCCAAATAATATTTTTGCCTTGTATAAAATAATAGCAGCCTTTATTCTTATTTGATCTCTGTGGGTACTGATGAGATTTGTGTGCTCTTAAAAGGGCACAAATAACAGCAAACTGAGATAGTCTGTTGCTCTGAATTAGACACATGCAACAATGGGGACTTAATTTGAAAATAGATTGTATGTATTTCTTCCCAATAGGTTTGCATTTCCAAGAATTAATTTGCAATATGGTATACATTTCACAATGTTTGCAAATTTCTTTTTATCCCACATAGTGACAAATAGATTATTTTTATGAAATGTGGAGAAAGATAACTGAAAACCTTTTTAACATATATTTTCCCCTACATAAAACTACAGAATACCTTCTGGCATGATAAGGGAAGGGACTTCTGTTAGAAATGGAAAGGTCCTAAAGCCACTGGAGGAGACACAGCAGAAGTCTATCTGCAGCATTATGCTTAGTCACATTCACTGAGAAAAAGTGAATCTCCATGGCTGAGTCCAGCACATGGTCAGCAAAGAATGACAGGCTGATCAAGGAGATCATTTTCATAAGAAGAACAGAAGGAGCTTGTGCTTAGCCTAATACAGTCAGGTTTGGGGGTACACAATTCCTTGTTTCAAATGTATACCCAGAGAATAAGTGCTAAGGTATGAGAGCTGTGTAGTTCTTGGGTAATGTTGGGTTAAGAACAAATGGGTATAAACTGACTATTAATAGATGTAAATGAAAAGTTAGAAGATGACTTTTCAAGAAGGCAATTCCTGAATGAACTTTATGTAGAGGCGCTGGTGAGAGAAAAATCTAGCTTATTACAAAAAATAGTAATTTTGAACCCCTGTAGAAGAACTTAGCAAGGGGACAGACAGAAATGGTTCAGAAAGCATTTGTAATGTTTGGGTATTGCTTATTTGAATCTTGATTTCCCTCAATGTGTTCTTTATTTGTTGAATGAATATTAAAATGTTCCTGGGAATTAAACTAACAGTCATACAAGCTGAAGTCCTGGTATATCAAGGCATTGTTTCCAGAGAATGTGAAAGTGTGTCTCTGTTCTGAGTGGATGGAATCTCTAATGATACTTAGATGGAAGGTGCTGTTTAATTCCCTTTTGATCCTTCTGGAAACTGCTAAATGAGGCAGCTAAGTAAGTTCTGTCTTGTATGCTATTATACTTACCTATTAATAGCTGAAGTCATCCTGCCAACTCAGTTTATGATATATTTGTGTTGAAAGAGCTGCAGTAACTTGAAAATGTGTATTTTTGCTTTTGTTACTCACCTATACTTGAAACATTTAAAGTTAAATTTTTATCCAAATGTTACATTTATTCCTGTTTGTCTTACCATGGATTCACTCACGAAAGCTGTTGAAGTTTCTTTCTTTTCTTTGTTGCCTTCTGATCTTTTAAGACCATTGGCTCCATTGAGTGAGACAGAGAATTACCTTCTTAAGAGGTTACTTAAAATTTGCAAGCAGGCATTTGACGAAAGTCAAGTGGATTAAATTCATACCCAACAAGCTTTATAATTTATTTTCTTTCAAACACTGAAGTGATAAAAAGTGGACTTCTTTGTGAGATTATTTTAAAAGTACTTGATAGTGGGCTGTCTTTGTTTCTATCAATGGGAATTTTACTGTTTGTTCTAAAGAAGACAGATTTAAGGAAAACCCCTTCATCCACTGCAAATGTATATATTTACTTAAGGAGTATTGTTGCTTAAAAGCAGCTTCCTTAATGGTTCATCTTTCACTGCTGTGGACATCCTCTAGTGAAAGGGTGGCTGGGAGTAGCCTTCCCTGCAGTCATTTGTCTTCATCATTTGATGCCTGACAGTCAGCCTTCTGAAGCCATAAGGGCTGGTGGGTTGTTGCAGTAGTGAGGGTGATGTTCTTGCATACCACAGGATGCTCCAGTGAAGGAGGAACAGAATGTATAGTGTCAGGCCTGAACATCGATCGGATCCTGCAGAAATACCCCAGCTATTCATTGGACTGTTCAGAAATACTTTGGTGTATGGATGTTCTGGCTGATACTGTGTGAAGATGCAGGAGAATGTTTCCAGAAGTTGGTACGTAACGTCCCTCTGACCTGTCAGTTGGTGGCCTTTAGCACCTTGTTTTATTCTGTGCTTGCAGCCTGCTTGCTGAGCCAGCTGTTGCAGAGTTAGACCTCTTGGAAGCAAGGAAGATTTTTTCTCTAGCATCCACCTATTGCAAAGGCAGCAAAGCACAAATAGCAAAAATGAACTTCACCAAAATAGGAACCAGGCTGGTTGTGTAAGTCAGTCATAAGACACAAGAATCCTCTCCTGAATGGTAACTGCGCTGCATTTCTTCGGTGGGATGGCACGAATGTCAGTCCACAAACTGGAGTATAAGCACGTGGTGTTGCTGCGTTTGGTTGCCTTTCAAAGCTGAACTGCTGGTCTTTCAGTACAGGTGAATGTAGCAACAGTTTGGCTACACTCAGGTATCTGTTGTGAGTGTAGCCCATTGCAAGTAAAAGTCTTGGCACCAGAAGTCAGACTCTGTTAGGTCCTTCTCTTCTTTCTTTTCCTCCCCTCAGCTTATTATTTCTGAGCTGCTCGCATCCTTAGGGCCTGGTGACTTTTTGCAAATGCTGAGGCTGGGAGGACTGTATTAGTGGAAGCACAGTGTTGTGGTATGTACATCATGAGGCTCACCTTTGCTTTCAGTCAGAATGGCATATTTTCAGTACTATACCACAGCAAGGTTCGAAGTGAGTGGGAGTAATTAACCCTGAAGCCTCCAGAGGCACTGAGAAGATCAATGTAGTGCCAAGGCAATTTTTCCCCTTCTCATTTTCCCAAGCTGAAGCTGCCTGACCAGAGAAACAGAGACGGGCTTCATGATGCTGCCCTGAAGCAATACGCTCACAGCTGGGTGCTAGGAAGCTTTGAAAGAGTCTCTTGGGTGTAATTTCTGCTGTTGAGCTCTGTTGGTGAGAGCACCTCACTGCTGGAGACCTGTGCTCTGTGGCAAAACTCAGAGAGTTACCCCACTTTGCTGTTGAGAGCAGACTGTCATGAACAAAACGCTGCCTTGAGTTCAACCCATGTAACCAGCTGGGCCTGCAAACCATGTAGTGACTAGGAAGCTGAAGATTATTTTCATCTGGTAGTATTGTAACCATTATGGCATTTGGAAGACACTTTTCTGCTGGCAGCAGGATGGATATAACTCCTGGTGCTCCTGTGTAAGCACAGCATGTGGGGTATTGTTGAGCCTTGCTTCTGGCTGGCAGTAATATCCCATTCAGCATGTAATTAAACAGCTCATAAACTGCCTTGAGATGTTTGTTTATGTGCACTTTACAGCAGAGAAGTACTGTGTTTTAGGAGGATGCTAAAATTTCGGTACTCTGAAAGCATTTGTATTTGATATTCAGTTCCCTTTTCCTTGACAAAAATAACCTTTGACAGGAGTGCATTGTTTTGCTGGCAATGAAAAGCAGAACATTTGGAGAATTTCACATGAATTTCTGTTACTGATTTTTTAATTCTTGTGTGTAAGTTAGGTATCAGTCTGCATGTGGACGCATTTATATCAGTACCTATTGCAAATTAATATTTGTAGATAACAAAATGAGTTTGCATTTTGCTGGATGAAAATGAGAAAGGCTTGTGGAAGTGAGGTGATATGGTGAGGACACCATGTAAAAACTATCTTGGTGGACAGAAGACGATGGCATGAGAGAGTATTAGTAAATTTCTACTGTATACACCATTTGTTTTGGCTTACAGTTTAGAGTGAATGAATTTGGGGCCCTGGAAGTGATAACAGATGAAACGGAGATGGAAAGTGTTAAAAAGGCAACTGCTACCACAACTTGGATGGTTCCAACTGCGCAAGAAGGTGAGTTAAGAGGTGGTAAACATTTTCTGTGGAAGATTGTATTTTGCTTTATCTTTCAATTTTTCTTAAAGATTACCCCCCAAAATAAAAATCCCAACACCTTAGTTGCTTTAATGTGGAGAATGTCTCTGGTGATGTTACCTGTTTCTTGAGTTTTGAATAAGTATGAAAATAAATTCATTTTAAGTTAAAAGGAAGTAATTCCATTGTTAAACATCTGAAGTTCAGTTACAGCCACAATTTTTTCTAACAGTAGTTTTTTCTAGTTTTAGAATCAGTGTTTTCCTTCTATTTAATTTACAAAGCAGTCAATTTATTAATGTATATTACTGAGAACTTCTTAGATGTCATATTTGTTGAGCTGATTCTCCAGACTGCCCAGAGACTTTACTAACTGCTTACAGTTTCTTTGTGACCGAAGTACCATGTACTGTAAAGTGACTTCACGTGTTACTGGCTGCTGCTCAGCTGTTACCACCTATGCCACTGCATGCTTGCACTCTTTGCTTTTTCCTGCTCATGATGCTTTTTTACAGCATTAAAATCAGTGTGTAGTAACCATTTGTGTTTATCCTAAATGATGAAATTCTAATAGTTATACTATCTGTCTATCAAATAAGATGTTTGCTAGGTTTAAAATACTGATGTAAGGAAACACCTTTGTTCAAGGAGAGTTGGTTTATGTGATCATAAATTCTGAAAATCTTGATACACTGTCTCCAGCAATGATGGAATACTCTGAAAGAGAATATCACAACTGGTTTTGCAATTACTTAAAACTACCTAGGCTTTTTGATATGATATTTTATCTTTTTTTTTTTTTTTTTTTAAATTATCCATTCTGTGTGATTCTTTAGTCCTTTGAAAAACAGACTCCAAAAGTTTGGTTTAGTAATCATCAGTATAAGCCCAATAAGCAAAGTCAGTGAAAGTATTTCTTTGCTACTCCCCACACCATTAAGTCTTTATTGTCGGGTGACTTTTGTGAGTAGGTGAAACATCTACACCAATGGAAAAGCAGTTTGGTCCTCAGCTGTGAGGTCTGAAGCTCCAGACCACAGCTACTCTGTTCTGTAGGTCTGTCTAGAGGCAGTGATAATTATTCAAGATTCAAATCTGCAGTGAGAGTGGCAACACTGTGATAGTGTAGTAGCACAACAGGTTCTCTCCTTAGACTGAGAGATCACAGATATGTACATTGAAGCATACAACTTCATCCCCTACGGTCTGGCAAACATGAAAAAAAAAAAATTTTGCTCCTGTTTATGGACACACGAACATGCTAAGTAAGCATCCTGCTGCTACCTTATACTGTCTTTGACTAACTTAATGGTCCCCAAAAATGAAAATATTGCTAAATCTTCCCATTGTGAGAGGAAGTAGTTGCTTAGAACCACTAATGATGCTGGAGTGTAAATACAGCACATAAATTATATATTGTTCTAGTGGAGTTAGTCTACACACAAGAGTTCATTTGACTCCACTTTCAAATCCAGAAGAGTGCTCAAGGAAAAGAAACAGTTCGTGACTTGAAATTTGCTTTTTGGGGCAGTGCAAAGTCAATGACCTGCTCTGGAAGCTGGAGAACTTCACAGTGCTTCATTTTTGCTTGTGCGTGAAAGAAGTAGCATCCTCTCCTAGGCTTAGTGTCTCTTGTGGGCAAATTGTAGCTTAGGATGAGTAACTTAGTATTTTAAAACTTCTTTGTTACAAATTAGTGATATTTTACTTCTGGTAGACCTCAGTCAGGTTGAGAATAGTCACTGCTGTGAGAGACTGTAGGATGTAGTCAATAATTTGCTTCCAGAAATAAGTTCACCTATTGAAAGATAACTACCACCTAATCTTTTTTGCCAAATGACCCTACATATAGATCAAAAACGAGGTACGTCAGCAGATGAGGTAGTGAACTGTGTGCAGTGATGGCCCTGGGCAGTCAGTGCAGTGCCTGTCACAAAATTCACTCCTTTCATGAGTAGACACATCAAGTAGTGTCGATGTGCCACTGATGACAGAAGCATGGAATTGGTGGATTCCTCTCCTTTGTGTTGTGCTATGAAAATCCAACTTGCTTGTCAGGAATACAGACCCCATACAGACACTTAACTCCCAGTTCTTCATTCTGACAAGAGTGATATGTCTTCTATTTCTGTTCACTTAGCAAGACCTGCTGAGGATGGTTGCAAATGTATCACCTCTACCTAAGTGAAGTTACTAGTTACTTTTTTTCCTTGTGCAGCCTTTTCAGAAAAAACAGGGATCTCTACAAGATTGAAGGAAACTGCAAAAATGGATGGACTTGTTTTCTGTGAAAACTGTTACCGCTATGGTACTATAGAAGAATTTGTTCCTGAAGGGAAATTTTGCAGCCAGAGATGTGCCCAGCAAGTAAAAAACAAGTAGGTGCTATCATACAGCATAGAAACAAAGAATTTGGCATAAATGCAGAATGACATAGAAGTGGGATAAAAAGTTAATGGTGAGTGGGGCAAAGTAAGATATTAAACAGCGATGTTTTGGTGAGTCTCCATTGGTTTATAATGTTCTTCCACTGTTTTTCGTGTAAATGCATTAACATTTGGTTTTGTCTAACACTGAAGCTGAAGCCAGTCTTTTTTTGCTCAAAGTGTGTTGTGTTCTGCTGTCAGATTCAAGTGGTAAAACAGTCTATGGGATGCATGAATCAGTGTCAGACACCCACCCTGTTTCATAATCATTGGAATTAAGATAATCAGTAATGAGGTGGTTGGTATGGTAAGTTAATTATCATTAAGTGCAAGAGCTGTGTTATAGATGACAGCAAGTGAAAACATGTAGCTTCTCAGTTCCTTTTCTTTCAGCTAGTGCAGTTCATCTCACAAGAGGTTTGTGTTACTGTGTCCATTCTGTATTGCATATTACCGCTTTATGGCAGCTATTAACATTATGGTTTTGTGCATTTCCCTCCATTTTTAGCTAATTGCCACAAAGTTTTCTGTTCTGATTGTTTGTTCAACAATTTGTACAGTCACATACCAGCTTTCTCCAATCGGATTTGTCAGTGTCAACAATTACCTTTGCTTTCCTTGCTGTAAGCTGCCCTGCAGTCCTAAACATTTCACAGTTTGCTTCTCTGTGAGACTGGATGATACATGGGAATGGACACACTGTTTAAAACATGCAGAATTTGTTCAGCGTAAGCTGACAGCTTTCCCTTTGCAGTTGCTATTGCATGTCTTTCAGATTAATTATTTTGACATCTAATTTTCCGTACTATTTCTAGGAATGTATTTGGGGTACTACCCTGGGACCTACAAACACTTGACCTTCAGATTTACTTGCTATTTACCTGTTTTATGAATACGAGAAGTGGAATAATACCCACTTTGTGTCATTGTGTTACTCTTGTAATAGGGAACCAAAGGAGGAAAAGCCCAGTGTGGAATGTAATGGGGAAGATGATTCCAAAGGCATTCGGAAAAGAAAAGCAAAGTTACCTCTCAAAGAAGAGTCCAGGGACGATGGGGAGAAGAAAGAGAATCCTGATGAAACTGTTAGTATTCATCATAAACCCATTCCTGCAAATAATTTGGCCAGGCTTTTGCCTTATATTGCAATGCCAGCAACTTCATCAGCACACAAAAAGAAGTGATGACATCGCTCCATCAGAGCCACAATAAGTAGTTGGTTTCCTTACCAGTTTAATTATGCCTCATCAGTAAGTTGTAGTTCAGGATAATGAACTGATAAGAGCTATTTTTTTATGTCTTTTCCCCTCCTTTTTTAAGAAGAGAAGAAGAAGAATTTAAAGGGAAAGTGATACTAACCTAGACTTGCTCTGTCTTCAGCATAGAAAAATTATCACAGTACCTTCCTGTGATGTCTGTTTTCCTGTAATATTTTCTTCCCAATATCTGTGACACTTCTGGGGGAAGGAGCACAGTTTTCAGGGGGAGGAGGAGAGCTCCACAACTTCCAAATTGTCAAAAGGCTGAAGACACTAGAATTGTCAGAAGGCAATTCATATCTCTCTCTAGCAGTGTCTTAGGCAAAAGTTGGGGACACCTTCTTTGCTGCCATATATCTGCCCTCCCAAATGGGTAACTTACTCTGTTCATCTATTCAGATGCTAACAAAACTGTTAGTACACAAATAATAGAATAAATGAAAAGGATCATTGCCATTTTATATTTAGTAAAGAAATTCTATACTTGAAAAAAGCAGACTAAAGCTGTGAGAGGTGTACCTTTTAAATTGTTTTGCAAGAATGAGCATATCAAAGATGCTGCTATTTATCTGTGGCTCAGCCAGGCCCACTGAAGGCTTCATGATCTGTCCCTGGCTTAGACAGGGCTGGCTGGCTGAGTGTTAAGAGTCCTTCTGTCTGTCATTTTCATCATGTTTGCTGTGATTTTTCAGTGATGGGTTACTTTGGTTTTATTAGACATCTGCAGGTTTGGCTGAGATAAGGGACAGCTATGTCAGTTGCCATTTAAGTGAAGTCAGTTAAACCTTGGGTGTCTCCATTTTTACTGGATGAGACTTCTGAACTAATGAGGTTACTGTACTCTTTTTTTTTTAATTTAGGAAGACAAACCTGAAGGAAGAATCCTGAGAGTCTCACAGAGAGCCAGGAGAAAAAGAAAAGGGGACATAACAGTTTTGAAACAAAGTAAGTTAGATTATGGAATGAAAAGTTCAACTCAATTCTTTAGGTAATATCCATCTCTTACTGTGAATTGCCAGCATGGTTTCACTCTATTTGTATACCCTCTTGAATAAATTTTTTTTCAGTTCTGTAAGAAGAGTGCCAGTGTTATTTACAGCAATTAAGTTTCAAAGATTGAAGAACTGAGAGAGCCAAGTGAAAACTGAGAAAAAACTCCCATCACTTGGAGATTGATTACCCTTTAGAAAGAGCCAGTTTATATACCTCTGGCAGCGTGGAGGAGAATATAGTGAGTGTAAATGTAATTGATGCACATTTTAAGTTTTTTTTCTATCCCTCTAAAGAGTACCAGTATTAAAGGGGATCAGGCCCATTGAGTTCCCAGATGATGAAAGACGTGTATTTGGCAGAAGTGAAAGTTTACTTCTGTTTCCTTGGGGATTGATTTTGTATCTACAGTATGTGCTGGAAATAGACACATTTAGGGAACTGTTTAGCAATAATTGCTATAATCAGTCCAAAGGGACATATGCTGCATCAAGTGGCATAATAAAACATATTTTAAATGAGTGCTCTTTTTTCAAGCTATTTGTACGATAAGTAATTTTAGGGAGAACCAGAGAATCAGCAGCTATTATAACCAAGCACAAACCTACATCTTGTCCTCCAAAGTATTTCTTATGGTGGACTGGGAGCCATTCTATGATTAGCCAAAGTTGCCGGGCCACTAATCAGCATAGAGCTCCAAGTAGCTCTGCTACACACTAGTCAGATAAAATACTGATTGAAGATGCAACACATAACAGTTATGGAAGAGCCCCCTCCTGAGATAAAATTACTCCTGAAATACGAACATAATTTTACAGTTGTTTTGAAAGCTGAGGTAATAAGTGTATGAGATACAAGCACAAAGCCGGTACTCAATGGAAATTGCTGCTGTCCACTGACAGAATGATCTGTACAGATTTCTTCTGATTTTGTTTTTTTTTTTTGTATTTGTGAAAATGTTAGTTCAGTACAAGAGATTTGATATAAAAGACCAATTTATATTCAGAACCAAGCACAGAAGTGTGTGTTTAGTGTGCTGAACAACACATCTCTTAAATGGAATAGATAAAACCTGGGGTAAATCACAGATAAAATGAATGTGCTTTAATAGTGGTGAGTGATCACTGTTATTCTGAATCTCTTATTATTTTGGTTATATTATCAGCTTCCTTCAGGAGAGTTTAGCATTGCTGTTGTTATGGTTCACGTTTTAATCATAAAAATGCTTAGCCAGACTGTTACTTGAGGGACTTAGTTCTCTTGTGAGTAGCCCACAGTCAGGATCGGGCCAGAATTGTACTGTGGACTATGAGGAATCCTCCTGGTAGGTTGAGCTTATGGTCTGAAATGCTAAGCTGCATGTGCAGAGGAGGCATTCTAGATGAAGATGAGAGCAGAGTGGAGGTGTATGAAAACAGAAACATGCATGGTCAGCTTCGAAGTTCCCGGCTTTTGCTAAGGAAGTTAGTGCCTTGTTTTCAAGGCCTATAAACTATCACTCAGTGATGTGGGTGTAGCCAATATTACAATGACTATGCGAGTGTATGTGAGTGTTCATAGTATATGGGCAAACCTGAAAATGGAAGTTTCTGTCACATGCTAATGACGTGATGGGGGGAAAAAAGCACTGGTGACAGTTTTGATGGCCTGGAGAAATTACTGTTAAATAACTCCCTCTCCACCCAAAACCATCAAAATACAAAGGAGTAGATTAGAAACTTTCTGCATACTGTTAAAGGATAAAGTATTTCAACTGTGATTAAAAAAGTGTCATGAGTGCTGTCCAGTTGAAAATGATTTCCAGGAAAATAAATTCTTGGGGGAAAAAAAATAGCTACTTTATGATTTGGGCTGATCTCTTTACACATTTGCTAAATGCATATATTGATGCTTCTTATGAGCAATAAGGGAAAAGGGACAGGAGTCAAGACTTTCTAAATTGTTCTTGTCACCTGAAGAAGCTTTTTCTTGTTACTATTCAAGCTTTGAAGTGCTAGAAACCTTTCTCTACAAACCAGACACCTTCATGTTCCTGGTGCTGTTAAACCTACAGACCTGCTACTTTTCCTGAAATGAGTCCTGAGAAACACCATGAATGCATTTAATAAAATGCAGATTTGAGATAGGTGTATTATGAACTTCAAAGTGTGGGTGGCTTTTTGTTTCTTTTCTTGACAAGTTACCGTTTACAGAGTTCTTTTGCTATCGTGTGCTTCTTTACAGCTGTACCCTGTAAAGGAAGGCAAGCATGGTGTTGGGCATCCTATCTGGAGGAAGAAAAGGCTATTGCAGTACCCACTAAGCTTTTTAAAGAGGTATGACCTTCTGAAGTTTAAATCAGTTCATCACCTAAGATAATGAAATTTCTAGGAAATCAATTTTTAAAATAATACAACGATTTTACACTGTTCTGATGTAAATCCTACATGATTAAAGTAATATTATCAATCAGCAATCGAGGCAGTTTGAACATGTGAAATTAGCTCTCTTCTTCTGCTTTACTAGAGAATTCTGTAGATACAGGGGATTGCTGTCAGCTGAGACTATAGAAAGCAGACGCTTCTCCAAAGTCCACAAGTTCTAGCTTCTCCTTCTAATCTCTGAAGCTAAAACTGCTATGTACCCTTATTTTTCCATGCCATACAATTGTTTTAAATATGTTTTGGAAGGTAGTATCACAGTCATCATTTGGCTTGTTGCTTTGATTATATTACTTGTCTTTTTGCAACTCCTGCTGACATTATATTTTGTTACTACGTCAGAACTAGTTTGGCTTGTTCTCATTTTGCTTGTCATCTGACTGGATGTCACATCGTCATCTCTTGCTTGTCCTTTGCCTGCTATGGTAGCCTTTGTCATTTGTCATTTCAGTGCTTTCTCTAGCGCTGTCTTTCTTGGAAGAGAGCTCTGTATGCAAATCCACAAAGCTTCCATGCTGTTCTTTTTCTAAAAGAGAAACAAAACATGTGAACATGTCTCAACTGCTGTTCTTCTGCTATATATATATGGTATTATTTTTTCATAATTCTGTTTTTACTTGTAGTCTCTGTGTCTTGCATCCATTTCTTTCTGTTTGCTTTATACTTAAATTACTAAATCTTTCAAGAGGGGTTAGCTTTTCAGCTTATGTGTGCACGTGATGATGACCTTTAATTGGTGCTTTTAGACATTACTGAGGTACAGAAGAGCTACAGTTGCAACATATAGATCCATAGACTTTTAGGTGGAAGAACAACAGTTAGCTGACCATCCTTAGTCATATTCCACTGTGCTATATACCGGTTGAAAAATTAACAAGAAAAAAATTTGAGTACATAGAGTCTCTGTCTGGAAGGTAGATTTACACATTGTTGCTTTGCCCATCTGACCTCCCGTGAAATGCTTTTGTGGCACACAGGCATATGGCACCTTTCTGGGCACTGCACGTGATGGTAAAGTCTGGAGTTACATGATGATGTACTGTTGCCTTTCTTTTTCCCCAGAGTGTACCTTTTTTACTCAGTGCATCTTATTCAATACTTTCTTTTAAAGTCTCTAGTCCCTGGATAACTCTGGGGTTTTATTTAGTGTGCAGTATTTAAAGCCTGTAGTGGAGAGAGGATTCTTAGTGGGACTCAGAAGTGGCAAGGTAATATTTCTCCATTTTACAGGTGGATGGACAAGCCACAGGAACAGTAAGGTTAAAAAGAACCCCAAACGTCACCACCAGTTTTGAATCTGATTGTCATTTGGCTTGTGGGAATTACTCTTTTTTTTTTTTTTTCCTCCTTTATTTTTCCAGTTCAGAAGCAGTCCTTTTTATGGCTTTTTTTTTTTATACCCTTAGTTAGGAATGGTCAGAATAACAGAGAGTCCTTGTACTTACCACTTCCTTGTACTTAAATCTTAGAATGATTTCTAGGCTGTGACTGACAAGCTCTTATGGCCCCCCAAAAATATAATTATTGACCTTTGAATTGTTTTTCCATTTCCAATTCTCCTCATGTAATGTTTTGGAGTTTATGTTCTTGCACCATATATAAACATTTCTAATCCTCAGTCTGCCATCTGCTCATTTGCTGACTCCTTTTACCTTTGCTCTTACCATGTTCTTGTATCTGTCCTTAACAAAGTATCTTTAGGTGTTTGTTGTAAAGATAATGTGTGATTACTAAATTTGTAGCTTTGGGTGATGTATTGAGAATAATGCACGAAATTGAAAGCTGTTAAATAGTCTGAAAGTTATTAGTCTTCTGAAAGTCGCCTATTATTTTGCTGTAACAGAAACCAAACTAAAGATTGTGTTGCCTTAGAAGTTTTAGATTTGACAATGAGTAGAATAGTGAATAATTCATACCTTAAATTTCAGGAAATACCTATGTGATAATTGCTTAATTTTTAGTGTGTTATTTGTAGAATTGTGTACTGTTTGTACAGTGATGTTTTTTATAATAATGAACATATAAACAGATCTGTGACTTTTTAATTGTTCCCTTTCTTTATAATTTTACTGGTTCTTGCTTTTGCAAAATCTTAGTTACTATTTTGGCCACTGTTCTCAGTATGTCAGTGTTTCTAGCAATTCAGTTTTCAGCTGAGGTTTTTTTATCTATACGGTGTTCATGCTATAGATGACGTTAACTACAAGTCTGTGCACCAAGATGAACTTTAAAAACTGGAATTTATTGATTTTACAAAAAAATCTCTGCTTTTGCATTCCTCTTGGGGAAAGTATCTAGAATTGTCAATAGAATAACTTCATTAAACTTTCATTGATAATAAAAATGTTAAGTGTAGTGACATTAGAATGAAATAACTTTTCAAATACTTAGAATCATGGAATGATCTGGGTTGGAAGGGACCTTAAAAGATCATTTACGTCCAACCCCTCGGCCATGGGCAGAGAGACCTCCCATTAGACCAGATTCCTCAAAGCCCCATCCAGCCTGGCCTTGAACACTTCCAGAGATGGGTCATCCACAACTTCTCTGGAAAACCTGTTCCAGTATCTCACTGTCCTCACAGTAAATATTTCCTGATGGCATCTTTAAATCAAAATGAACCATTTCTGGCATCCCACACTATTTTATTTTCATATATGAAATCTCATTGGATATTTTGTCAGTTTTCTGTAGCATTAATCCACATTCCTAAGTGATTGATTATTATAGGAATGATAACCACCAGGAAGGTGTCGGTGTCACTATACAGGCTGAAAAATAAATCATTACATTGTTAAAGTGTTTTATTGACAATTAGTGAAAAAAAATTGAGGGCAATCATGTAATCTTCTTTCCCTTGATTAACCTTTTTGCTAATTCTTGAGAATATGTAAGAACATTATGAAGTTTTAAGTCATTCCAGTGTAAAAGTGTGTTTTGAATAATCACCAATTTCTCTTTTCTTCTGTATGTTTATAAAAAATGTGAAACTTATTTTAAAGTGATTTATTAGTTCTTTCAGGAACATGAATAGTAGATAATAATTGTTCTTTTCTTTATAAAGATATACTGTCTGTCTCTGGCTACTTCCAGAAGTATTGAAGCTGCCTTTTTTCCATTGCAGTATCAGTCTTTCCCATACAACAAAAATGGATTCAATGAATGAAGCTGGAGGGTGTGGATCCTGAGCACCAGTCAATATACTGTGTTCTCACAGTGGTCGAGGTGAGTAGAGGCTGTGAGCAGCCGTGGTGCAGGATTACAGGGGAGAATGAACTGAAACAGCAGCAGCTGAAACTGCTCACTTTTCCCTAACAGCAGGCAGAACTGAAATTAATAATGCTGTATTAAATCTACCTGACAGGCATGTAAAGGCTACATCTAGTGCCATGCAGGAGTGACTATTTACATGTATTTAACATATGCAGCTAAACAAAACGCTATTACACTAGTTAGATGATCTGTGGTTTTTCTGTTACCCTGTAATTTAGTTCTATATTTAAAAGAGAAGATAAGTAGAAAAAAAACTTTGTCATCAAAAGTATAACAACTGATATATAGGAGTTACACAGAAGTTTGATAGTATTTACAGTTGCTCCATTCACTGATACAAATACCTAATACTTTTTTGTGTTGTGGTTGTGCTACAGTTTTCTCAGGCTGATGACTTGAGAAGTTATCGTATTGTAGAAGTTATATATACTTCTATATATACGAGTTAGTATACAATAAAAACTGTTTGTCTTTTTACTGGATTTTAGGAAATAATTTTTCTGATGAGTAAAATTAAAGCAAGCTTCCTTGCTTTAATTAGTAGAAGTGAGGACCTGTTTCTCAGTTACATTTTGTATGTCTTTCAAACATACCATATGTTCATTTTTATGTAGTTTACTGAGGATCCTTTTTTGGGTTTGTACTGTGAGTTAAAATGGGGAAATAAGAATAGGTAGCTACTCTGTTCTGTGTCACTGCTGTTCTAGGCAGCTGTACTTTTAGAGTTTTTATTTTAATAGCCTAGGCTTTTGTGCTCCCATTTCTGGATCTCTTCATGGCTCATAGTTATGTCCCATTTCTATGGATATCTGTTCCAGTTTCGTGTGGATGGTGTGTCAGTGGTTATTTCCTGTACACCTTGTGCTTGGCACTGAGTCATTGGTCATGTTTTACTGCAGGATGACCAGAATTCCACAGAATTCTGAGATAGCAAGCTGAAAGTTATGTTAGAGTATAAATTAAATGTAAAATAGAGTGACCATGATGTCAACATTTTCACTGATGAGCACAGGAAAGTTATGGCATTTGACACTCAGCAAAATGTGGAGAACTTTTGTACAGAGAGAAAGATTGTGTCCTGTTGTTTTCTTCTTCTTCATGGTTAACTTATAAGTTCAGGGGGCTACTTCAACTGACTTCTCATTTTTAATAACAGTTCTCACCTCTCTAGAGAGCCTGTTGAACAGTTACTCATGAGTGCTCTCTTGCATATTGATTAGTTGGGATAGCTTGAGAACACCATTGTCTGCACGTTGTCCCTAATTGTATCAGACGTATTCATGCTCTCCTGTAGCATTTCTGTTTTATTCTGATGTAGGATTGAACAGCTTTCAGGTTTTGGAACACTAGTGGTAATATCTAGCTTTCAGTTAATTCTTTTCACCAGAAGAGGAGGCACTCAGACTGAGAATGGATTTACTTTTTTATTCTTTTCTTTTTACCAAATGAATGTATTCATCCAGTTTTGGCTTGAGCAGAAGTAAAAGGCTGTCTGAAAACACTGTTCTTATACATCATACTGAACAGATTCTGTTATGTAAGAGCAAACGTCTTAAAACACAGCATTGCCTGTTGTCCTTTCTTGCCTTTAGGTTTGTGGCTACAGAATACGACTTCATTTTGATGGATACTCAGATTGTTACGATTTCTGGGTGAACGCTGATTCTTCAGACATTCATCCTGTTGGATGGTGTGAGAAAACAGGTCACAAGCTTCATCCACCTAAAGGTATTGTTTAGTTTGAAATGTGAAATGCATTTTCCTGATGCATTAGTGTGAAATGTGAAATGCATATGAAATGAAACACATTTTCCATAGCTCTGAGTTTGAGACTTTGTAATGCTAGAATTTATTTTCTTTTTGGCAGAAAGTTTTTTGTTCATTTAGTCAGAATATTTGAACGTGGGAAATAAAACTCTACTTGAAGTCTTGCTAAAATCTTGAGATTAATGTTCAAACTTTTTTTATTCAATGGAAATTCAATGAGAATAAGAAAATAAAACAAACAATAAGAGTAATTTGTAAGGGTGTAATTCATAAGGCATTATGAAAGTTAAGCAACAAACCTAGACCCCAATGAATGGTTATTGCAAGTAAAATGACAGTGTACTGGTAACATGTATGCTTAAACTGAGGTCTCACAGGCAGCTGAGAATCCTTTAGTGGAAGGTCTTAGGATATTTTAATTGCTAGATATTGATCACTGTTACTGTACATGTGCTGGTACAGACTAATAAAGATTGTGCTTTCGCCATAAAGAGTAAGTTTGAAATAGAGACAAAATAGGAATGAACAGATCAGGAAGAAAAAAGGGTAAGATTACAAGCCTGAAAGCATGACTTCTATGTAGCTTATGTAAATTGGGTACATACGTTGAAATATGTGTAATTTGCTTTCTTAACTATTATATTTCAGATTATGTAACTCCTTTATTTTGTCAGATGAAGTACATCTGCACTGAACTGTACCATAAAAAAAGGAATAAATGAGCTCCCTTTTAGGATAGGAAAGAAATATGTGGGCATGAAGGGAGAAAGTCCTGAAGACAGGAGAGTGAGAAATAAATACATGTGATGTTCTGACATACAGAGTGAGGGTAGGATGCTGCAGTTTCAAAAGGCTGCAAAACTATGAGCATACAGAGCTGAGAGGATGCATTATGGAGAATTCTAAAACTGTGGATATAACTACTGGCTTGTGGAAGGTAAAGCCCCTGGAAGTGCACAGGCAGAGGGCCTCCCAGCATAGGAGAGGGTGGCATTTCTGCAGCTGTGCCTTGGAGGAGTATGAAGGAGCATGTGCTGCTCTCGTGAGTGTTCTGCAAGCTCCACTTGAGCTGCAGGCAGGAGTGTGCTGTGCTGCTGCTCTAGTACAGGGGCTTCCACTAGGCATAGTCCTGCATAACTGGCCGTGCAGAAATAGCAATTTCTTGAACATAAATCAGAATTTCTCAGAAGGTTGCTCTCCACTGAAGTAATAAGTTATGTGTAGCAAGTGAGTAGTCCCTAGTTATAGAGTTACTGATGTTATTTTTATATCTGTGATGAAGGTAAAAAACTTTGAACTTTTGTTAACAGTGAGTGAAGAGAAACTTCTTTATTGTGGGGATGATGGAGCACTAGAACAAACTGCCCGGGGAGGTTATGAAGTCTCCTTCTCTGGAGAGTTTCAAAACCCAACTGGACACATTCCTATGCAACCTGCTCTTCATGAACTTACTTTGGCAGAGGGCTTGGACTTGATGATCCCCAGAGGTCCCTTCCAATCCCTACCACTCTGATTCTGGGAAAGCTGGTCTGTTTCTGAGTCACTTTCATGTAAAGTTTCTTCAGTTTTTCTAGTTTTAAGCTGGTGGCAACATTGTTCTTTTGTGTTTATTTTTTTTTCACCATACTGAAGCAATGGATAGGACTTTACTTAGAAAGGTCACAGAGCCTGTCAGAGGTGTTGAGGGAGGCGAGGTAGGAGGATATACGATGGTAATTCTCAGGGTTCTGGTTGTCATCCTGCGCAGCTCTATACTACTGTGATTCCAAAGACATATTCTTAATGTTGAATAGGAAGACTGTTCTCAGGTATTTTTATCCAAGACCTACAAAGTGCTTTGCCCTTTGCATAGCTTGGCTCTGTCACTTCACCTCTGCAGAAAACCATTTCATCATTGATGAGGTATGGTGTGACTGCTGAAACCTGCTCTGGTAATCATGATGTTTCCTGATACACATTTGTATCCTTGTTTATTAAGACAGAAGGGGCAGGTAATTCTTGGTGCCACCAGGCAGGACAGGACCTCAAAGCAGGGTGTCTCCCATCCCCATGGCAGCAGAAGCAACAAGCAGTTGCTGCTGGGCTTCCAGCACACACATAGGAGCAAAACTCCCAAAGGGAGACATTGGTGAAGCAGAGGCCACTTGGTCTTCTGAAACAACTTCAGAGGAGTTGCTCTGCAGTTAGCAGAGAAGGAGGGAGCCTTGAGAACTGCGGTAGAGGTCCCAAAGTAAAAATTGTATGGACCTTTTTTGGGAAAATTAATACAGCTCTGTAGTGTTGCTTTTTAAATAAAAAAGATGCTAGCAGATCAACATAAATGTCCTTAACATGCTTAAACTTGGTCAGTCCTGAATTGGTCAGGCAGTTGGACTAGATGATCATTGTAGGTCCCTACCAACAGAAATAGTCTGGTCCATTCTATTCTGTTTAACAAATTACATAATTCCAAGTAGCCTTCAAGCTATATATTTGTAAATTGACTGGAAATTAACAAAGCCCTTAGTTTTAGTAAGTGAATACAGTTCTATAGCTACAGCAACTGGTGAAATCAGTTTTGCCTTTGATCCTTGTTTTATGAGGTAGATATCTTCCTTTCTCATTTTGTGACTGGAAGACGCATGCTGCCCAGAAACTCCTTCACAATCTACTGGAAGCAATTTTTTTTCCATGGACTTTGCCCCAGTACCAGTACCTGATTCCACCATGCATACAGTAGGTGTTGTTGATTGTGAGCTTTGAGCTAAGTTTGAATTTCCTCTAAAATTACAAAGGGAAAATTAAAGCCTTGATACAACATTCCTTTAAAAATTATTTCAGCTGGTCTGCAGCTATAAAGACAAGGGGCTATTGGAGTATAAGTAAAAGTACCATTGTGTGGACTGGGAGGTTAATTTATATTAGCTGTTACTGAAAATGAAAACCAAGAAAGGAAGATGTGGATGAGGTGAAATTAAAGGATTCTTTACTTGTAGTTTCTTGGAAAATATGAGATTCTATGAAAGTTAAACAAAGATGTTGTCTGTAGCTTGAGTAATACTTCAAATAGTCAAGAGGTGACACACTTCAGTAATTAAGGTGATCACTCACTGAAGTTCATAATGGTTTTGGTCTTGTTCCTATATTATTTAACAGGCACATAAAGGAAGAAAACTATCTGCCTACATCTCTTAAATTTGTTTCATACATCAGAAGTACAAATGGTTTCTTGTGAATTATTTTATGCAGTTCAGTATATTACAAATTATTTTATTTTTTTCTCAAAGAAACTAGAAGAGGCAAAGTATCAACAGAAATGTAGATTTCTTCCCAAGTTCTGTACACATAGAATAAAAAAATGCAGAAAGTCTGTGCAGGGGATAGGTTGTGCTGTAAATGTGTAGCGAGTCCTGGGACATTGATGGTGTAAGCAACTGTTTTGATATTACATAGAAAGTTTGCTTTAAGGCTAGTAGTGATCATGGGGTATTATGGATAGCCTGAGGACATAGTAGGGTGCAGTCTGTAGAGGGGGGGAATTTTCTTTACTAGACTGGCTGGCATAGTGGGAAGAGTTCTGGATGCTGTGGGCTCTTTGCTCTTTCTGAAGTGGAAGCAACAGACTGAAAAGCAGCTGCAGAGCGCTTGCCCCAGGCTTGTTGGTTGGTTGTATGTGTGTCAGTCAGACCACCAAAGAGAAGTTAGTTGGTACCTGTGAGGAAAGACGTGGTAAGCTGCAGTTTTCTTTTGAAAAGGCAGAGAGGTTACTTGTTGCCTGCGCCACTGGGAGAGATTTGTTTAAAAGGAGAGAGTAGTGTAGAACTGGTATCTTGCTGAGAGTGACTTTTGATACCTAGTGGAATTACAGATTTTAGTTTGTAGGATCTCCCTAGACATTCTGCTTCTTGAGGACCTTCGGCTGCCTTGATGGTCAGGACTGCAAGGTTGGA